GCACCAAAAGAAAAATATGGATGAATAGTTGTCTCTGCAGAATTTGAAAACAGTGGATAATTATGAACATCTTTGAGCAGGTTCAGAAATTCCGAGTTAAGGAAATGGAGCTGTCTTTCACGCAAGGGCGCTGGAACTATGAAAGCTGGGGCAGATTTTAAATGCAAAGCCCCCTGGAGTTGAGCTATGGGCTGTCTTTGATGCTCCACAACATCTGATTAATGCTTTGTGGAAGAATTTAACACACTCTTTCTGGTCTTTTCTGTGCCTCAATCAGTTTCCTAGAGTCTAGTACATCTTATTATGCCCCAGAGTGGAGTTTTCCACCCGCTTCGGGCAATCTGAGATATGGTACTTTGCCCCGTGAAGCTGTTTGCACTGAGAATATAACTCCATGGCTGAAACTGCTTCCTTGTCAGGACAAAGCCGGGATTTCCACGTTACTAGATAGGCCATCAATTTACAGAGGATTTTATCTTTCTCAGAGGTTGCATCTTACCTTAACCGGATCTGGTTATGAGGGGATGGATCTAAGTATCATATTAGAAAAAACACTTACAGTTGTCCTTCAGCCTAATAGTCAAAGGGCCAGTCTGGTCCGTGATAGTGAAAAACATATTCAACCAAGCTGGTCTCTTAGTTCAATTTTTGGGAATCAAGTTGGGGGAAAATGTGTTCTTGCGGAGACTAGCAATGTGTACCTTCTACTTGACAGGGGTTTAATTGCTGAACTAAAACAACTACATAAAGAAAATGTGAAGTCAGCAGAAAATTTTTTGACATCTGAGAGTTTTTTTTACTAATCCAAGCTTTGTGTTGTCTGCTAAACCAGACAGGATATTTATAGAAGAAAGCAGTTTGCTTAGCAAGAATTCTTCTGTTTTGTACAAGTTCGAAGTTGAAAAATACAGTGAATCTGAGCCATTTGATCTTGGCCTAACTTGGAAGATTCTGGTAGTTTGGCTGTGTCAACAAGCACCATTACATGCTAGCAGGTTCTTGATGGGAAGTGGAAATGAGAGGGGCGCCATTGCTATTTCCTTGAAATCTACACAAACGACTGAGGGTTTCATGGGTGCTCATTCCAATGATGAAAGGTGTGAATTGCGAGTTGATGTTTTTCAAGTTGTGCCTTGGTATGTTAAGGTATATTTCCATTCTCTGCAAGTGTTTGTTGATCAACAACCTAAGGCTGTTTCAGATATTATTGAGAAGATTCACGTTTCACCTTCCAAAGACAAAGTGTCTCCTGGTGTGATGGAGTTGGTTCTGAAACTTCCTTGTAGCGTGAGCTCAACTGCGTTAACAATAGAGTTTGATAAGGTGTGTTTTCCATTATCTTTATTTCACCATTAGTTGATGTAGTTCTATAAATTCTGAACTGAATGAAAAATAGCATGCTTCTTGCATGATGGGCCAAACTCTAGTATGATTTCTGCTTCTTGTTTTGTTGTTGATTAGTTGATCCTCTATTGACATGTCTGAATAGGGTTTTTTGCATATTGACGAATATCCCCCTGATGCTAATCAAGTATTTGACATACCGTCAACTATTGTAAGCTTTCCCAACTTCCATGCTAGCATGGTTTTCCTTGAAAATCACTCTTTGAACAAGTCACCCTTGTTGTCAAAGTTTCAGGTATTAGCCTCTTGAGATTTCTGGTCTTAAACCTGAACAAATTGTGTTATTCTCATTTGGCATTTGTTTGATCTGTCATGCAGGAAAAGAGTCATGTCATGTCTTACACAGAAGTATTACTGGTACCTTTGACAACTCCTGATTTTAGCATGCCTTACAATGTTATCACAATCACATGCACAGTGTTTGCATTGTATTTTGGATCATTGCTCAATGCACTACGAACGCGAGTTACTGAGGAGGAGAGCTTTCTTAAAGACAAAGGTAAGTTTAGTTCATTGAATAGGTCATGTCTGTGTTCGTGAAAATGTGATTTTCTTATTTATTGTTTTAAATCATAACATTGATCTCCTACTATATCATGGAAATAGCCCTTTAAGTGTAGTTGGTCAATGTTCCAAAGTCCAATTTGAAAAGTTCAATGCAACTTTGGTAACATCTTGTAAAGGTCATGTATATCCACCTATTTAGTACTTGCCACATGGTCAGATGAGTAGGTTTGGAGATGAACTTGACATGAGAGGTGTAGACTGCACTCATAGCAATGATTCTTCAATTTTGTGGTGCTTTAAAGTTGTTTGAAAGATTGCATTCATGGTGGTTTTCAAGGATCGAACTTAGTAAAACATAATGAAATAAAAAAAGAGAAGAGAAAACAACAGTTTTTTAATCGCTGTAGCTGAGTTCATCTGTACACTGCATGCCATTGCTTTACTTTGATGGTCCTATCCCAAGGATCCATCATCTTCATCATTTTCATCCATCACCCCACCATATCTGAAGAGTTTTGGTTTGAAAGGAAATTAAAGGGAGATCACAATCAGCCACCTCAAACCAAATTTGTTATGGTTTGGTAAACCAGTATTCATGTTGTGATTGCAGCTTTCGATTTTTCGACTACCTCATCTTCCTCTTACTGATGTTTGCCTTTTATTTCTCGGCTTGCAGCTGCCAAGAAAACTGGTCAGCTACCTCTGCTGCTGTCAAAGTTGTCGGCAAAGATAATAGGTAGGAGTTCGTAACCTCCTCATTTGTCCCCAGTTTCGTCATCCTTCATTAACTCTAAATTAGTACTCAAGGTCATACTCGTAGCTGGACTTGCCGTACGTGGGTAATACTACTTTTTATGAAGATATAGAAGTTTCAGTGTACAATATGAGCAAAATGAAAAAAATAGTGTACCTTTGATTTAATGAAAAAAGGGATTTTGTAACATTTTGATCTATTGATTATTTTGTTTTAGTTTTTGAAACTTCGAATATGTGAAGAAATTAACTAAACTTTGTTCTGCGAAATTATGCTCATTTGCATCAAGTCATTGAATGTAAGGGCTTGAGCAATGATATATAGGGTTGGATAAAGAAAATTGATAAGATTTTGGAATCTGTCATGTTTTGCCATTATTGTTTCTTGATTATGTTACTGAAGTATGATGAACCCATGTTGCTTGGATTCGAGATGAGAATCAGATATGAATATGTATTCGATACAAGTAGGGATAAACAAAATTTGATTCAATTATTTATTCGAGCGAACTTAGATTAGTCGGCGTTTTTCTTTTCAAATTCGAGTTGAATTCAGATTTTATCAATTGGAAAAATTGAATCTGACGGTTTTGTGATTTAATTTCTGATTTCTTTTATTTCTTTAATTCTTCATTCACTTTTAAGTACATATTTCTTTTATCAAATCTAAATGATATGCTACTAAATCATTGTATAATCCCCATGTTGTTACCATTTCTCTTTTCGAATTTGGCATGATTTTCTCCTTTCTTTCGTTGCTCATTCGTTCTAAGTTTACATCTTTACCAAGTTCGAATAATATGTTCAATTACCACTATAGAATATCTATGTAAGTTTAATTTTTATTTTTAACAATAGATTTCTTATTTTTATTATTTAAGATCTCATTTTACATTTTCTTCAATTTGATCTTTCGACTATGATTTAAATCCTTTCTATTTATTAATTTTTTTTGACTTATATACTCTCATCTATATTTATTCCTAAAATATTTTCTGTAAAAATAACACTATAAATAATTTTATAATTTTAAATAATATTTAATTTATTCAATAATATTATAAATCTTAATCATACATATAAAAAAGAAAGGGAGAATACATATAAATATAAGGTTTAATTATAAAATAAATGGCTAAACTATATCAATTTTTTTAAATGGGTGCCCAATTTTTTTTTTGAATCATCCATGTGCCTAACATTACAAATGCTACCATTGTAGGTGTCCAAGACGTAACGACCATTAAAAAATTATGTTACGTGACACATGTTATGTTTTGATAATTTTAAAAATTTTAAGTATAATTTTATTTTAAAAAAACCAATACTTTTGAAAATCTTAAACCCCAAAACTTTACAAACCTTTATTTCAATCCCTATACCCATACCAATTACCCCGTTTGTCATCATTGCCATTGAAAACCTCCACCCATCTGAACTGTCACCGTTGACACAACCACTTGACGATACAACCACATGAAGAACCCCTAATCGATGATTTAAATCCGAGAAAAATAATATGCAAAATTGAAACTATTTGACGACTTTGATGGCAACCACGATGGCATGGTAAAGGGCGAGTAACAATAGAGATAGAAAGGACAACAACAACATCGATGGTCATGGCTGGAAAGAGAGAAATTATGGTTAGGGTTAGGGATTTAAGGATGCTTTTAGGGATTTGGGTTTTTTTTGTAATTTTAGAAAAAGTAGAGTTTATTTATAAATATAATAATATTTTTAAGTTTTTAAATTTGAATAAAATTTTCAAAATTTTATATAGGTAACACTTATCCTTTAAAGATAAAATTTAACGACCGTTACATTCCGGACACTTAAAATGGTAACATTTGTAATGTTAGGTATTTAGATGATTCAAAAAAATTAGGCTCCTATTTGAGAAAAGTAGTATAATTTGGACACTTATTTTATTAAACCTAAATATAAATATATATATATATATAATTCATTTAAATTGAAATCACTTTTTATCGTACATAATATTAAAAATTGGTTGATTTTTTCACATCGTCTTCGTATCCAATTAAACTGTGCATCCTCCATTTTCTCGATCCTTCTTATAGTGTCTTTGTAGCATGAGTAATGATAACGAACGTGATTTTGGTGCATTTCATGTTAGAATATTAAACAATAATGAAACGAATTAGAAAAGATGGTATGAATTAGTGAAATTTGAATGGAAAAACTGGAAAAATGAGGGAATTTGGGCTCATGGGTTGCGAGTAAAGCGGCCTGTTTTATCTCTACATAGTCGCTGATGTAATAGTGAAGGATCCCCGAGCGTTGCTCCTCTTTTCATTCTTCAAAATTCGAAAGCCCAAAGGAAAGAAAAACCTTGAAATTCCTCGTAAGCATTTACCCGATTCACTTAAGGGCTTGTTTTCTTTTCCTCTTCCCCTGTTAGCTAGAATTTCAACTTTAGAAAACCATCTTTCTTCTTCTTCCTGTATTATTTTCGTTTGTCGCGATTTATAAAGGTTAGGGTTAGGGTTCTTCTTCTATATAGCGGATAGAGATGTATGCCGATCAACTGGAGGGTGCTGGAAAGAGGTCGGTAAAGGATAGACTCAATGGCAACTCCTTCAACAACTCTATTCCCCGGCGTCAAACCACTGGCAAGAGGTTGGGTTTTCTCTTCTTTTTATGTTTGTTTCTTCAGGGGTGATTGGGAATGAAAACTGGGTTTATGATAAATTTCCTTTTCATTTATTTGATTTATTGTGAAAATTGTTTTGCTCTATGATGAAACTTTGGATGTTGAACCAGTTTTGCTGCTGAATTTATTCATGCTATTTTATTCTAGTTTTTTTATGAAGAATTTGAGATAGTTTTCTCAATTGCATTGGAGTTAAAGATCATTTGAATGATAAAAACACAGTTATTATTATTATTATTTAAATTCATTAAGTTGAGGATTTAATTTGTCTTGTCCCTTTGCTGGATCGGCAGAATCAAGTATGATGCGTTGAGAAAGGGGTTGGGCCTGGGAGCAGAGATTCATTAGCTTTTAAAATATGTTTCTGTTGCTTGCATTGAGGAAGAAGTCAAATTTGACTTATATGCCCTTTTTAGCTTCATTTCCGAATATTTGAACATCTTTCATGCCATATCTTTTGTAGGCAGAGGCAGGATGAGAAGTGGGAACATGATCTTTACCATGATGATGTCCCTCAAGTTTCAAGTATTGAGTGCTTTACACAATCACAATCAGCTAAAATATTGCTTGCTATAGATGTATGCAAGTAAATTATCTATATTTGTTTTTGACTGTGTGTTAATGGTTAGTGAAGATCGCAAGGTCAATGCTCAAGATCTTCGACTGAAGCTCCAAAGGAAAAGTCTCCAACAGGTTTCTCAAAGTGGAAGGGCTGCTTTCTCAGGTGTGCGTGATCTTCGTGACAAATTATCTGGAACAATGAACCTGCAGCCAGTAAATGTTGATCCACCAAAATTAAAATCAGATGTTAACAAACCAGCCAGGAGAAGTGTAGCAGTTGAAACATCTGAACCAGAGCCCAAAAAGGCTGCAACTATGGCAACAAAGAAGAAGGCTCAGCAAAAGGTATAGAACTTCCTCACTTAATATTATCTTTTCTTACCATCTTTATGCTCTTAGGGATCGCCTCCTCCCCATCCTGTCAGTTCCCTCTATTATAGCCTTATAGGGATTCGTTCAAGTTAGTCTCTCTGTTGTTAAATGGACCAATTTAGTCCTTGTACTAGTAAAAAGGATCAAAGAAGGCTGATCTTTAACATAGTTAACCTTTACTGCTAAAAATATTACATGAAAATTATTTTTTCCATTTGCAGTTCAACTCCAAACAGAAGATTTTATTTGTAGAACCATAAATAAAAGCTTTGAAATATCAACTCTGTTAAACAATGATTGACATTTTTTAAATAGTAAATTATAATTTATAACTCTGTAAAAAATTGGCCTTGATTATTTTTACTAGTATATGGAGTAAATTGATCCCTTTAATAGTAGCAGCCCTAATTTGAACCAGCCCCAATAATAGAGGGTCCTTCCGAGAGTTTTCCATAAGGCGAAGGAATGGTTAGCTTTTAATTGCTGTATAGGATGATATCATACACAATATTTTTTTTACCTTGACAATCCATTTTTTTGAGCATTTTATGTTTATCGTTTTGTTAACTGATGAGCATGATAAATTTGAGGCAAAGCTTTGTTTTGTCTCCCTTGTTTTCCTACTGTCAGAGGTGGATGGGGAACTGGGGATCAAAAACTTGCCCTGTATGGTATACATATTTCTAGGGCTCATTTACATTGGTTTGCAATTTAATGATGAACTGCACTACATTGACCTTCATATGTTAGTTGTTTAAGCTGCAACTCAAGAGCCATTTTAGTTATATTTTCGTGTCTAAGCTGTGTAATTTCTTCTGCAGGTTGATGCATCAGTGGAGGGCTTCCTCCAGTCTTTGAGTCTTGAAAAATATGCGATTACTTTTCAAGTCGAGGAAGTATGTTGTTTTATGCTTTATTTTGTATTCTGTATCACTTGCCCCTTTTCATATTTTAAATCATTGCCTGAATTAAAGGCCTCCTTCTGCAGGTTGATATGACAGCTCTTGTACAAATGACTGATGATGATCTGAAAGCATTAGGCATACCAATGGTAATTTCAAGTGAACCTCAATTAAGCTGTACTTAATGCTTGTCTTGGTTGATGAGGGATTTGAACAGGGATGATTCGTGTATTCTGGGTTCCGAACCATGAAGTTATTATGTTACTGTACCTCTTGTTTTCTCCAGTTTTCCAATTTGAGATGCTCCAAATGTTTGCGTCTTTAGAATAAGTAAAGGCTTGCTCTGCTGAACTTATGAAAATATACTTTTTGCTGACGGAGAAAATGCCTGATTTTTTCTTTGCTTTCTTCCTGATTTGACGGTATTGTTGGATTCTTTTTTGGGGGAGGGGGTTTTAGGCATAAATTGGAATTTTTGGCATGCACAGACGGAGTCTTAGAAAATCTTTAATTTGTGTCAAGTTAATCTGAAAATATATGCTACTCCATTTCCTTCACTATGCAACCCATGTTCTCTTTTTTTGTTTTGTTTTATGCATGTATAAGTATTCTATTTTCCCATTCTCCTTGTTTTTTCTTCCCTTCCCTGCACATCCTTTTGAGTAAGACTTTTTTTTGGTATACTTGCAGGGCCCAAGAAAGAAGATAATTCTGGCATTGGAATCAAGAGGCTGACATTCAGAGTAGCAAATGGATTGTTGCTTGTCTGGACATCACTACTAGATTAGCAGGGATGTGATTTGGCTTCATTGACAAAAGCATGGCTTCATGAGCTTGTTATTGAAATCAAAGGATGGAGTAACGTTAGATTGCATTTAAGGGCTTCAGTTAGAAACTTTAAGCTAATCTTATGTTAAAGTTAATTGTTTTAGGTGAATGTTAAAAACCCAGATCAAGTGTAAAGCGATGATTTTGTGTTCAAATCATGTGTGATGCAAAGCCATCTTCTTTATGCTGCCAATGGTTATGATGAGACAAGGGAATGCAATTGCTTTTGTTTTTTCCCCCTAAAGAGGAAGATTAAATTGTCATCTCCAAGTCTCATTAGCTTTGTCTGTTCCTTAGATGTATTTTATTTTTGAGAAAAAAAATCCAAAAGCCAACTCTTCTTTAGATGTATTGATTTTATGTAATGAAGATATTTTTAGATTTTTTTTATTAATCTGGGGTAAGTATAAAGTAGTATTTGTTCAAAAATAACTCTCAACTATTTAACATTAAGCGTTTAATGTAATACCCAAAATTTTGCTTAGTGACCAAAATGAATAAATTCAAAGTTTGGTGACCAAATTATAAATTTAGGAAAGTTTAGGGACCAAAATGGTAGATTTCCCAAAATACATATTTTTATCTCGTGAATGAATAGTTTATCCTAAGAATGACATTTTCGTGTTACTCGGATTTTTGGTAGTTTGTGTTAAAGGCTATATAATGTTAAATTCGAGAAAAATTTGGATAATCGGATCGAATCGAAAATATGAGATATTTTGTTTGATGATAGAACAAGGATAGAAATGTCATTTATGTGCCTTTTAAAGCATAATATTCAATATGAACAATTGGATTTAAGTTGAACTTTCATGTTAAATTTAAGTCGTTGGATAAAAAGTAGTAAGATTATAATTATGGATTTTACAAGGGCAAAGTTGATAACTACTAACTTCATGGATTAATCTTAGCCTTTGGATGAAGATATTAACATGTAACATATTTGTGAGAATTGAATTTTAAGAGTAAAATGGTCATTTGAATTAAAATGAATTTTAAATTCATTTTAAACTTTATAAGTAAAAAAAACTAAAATAAAAGAAAAAAAATTAAACTTTCTTGAATTTCTTTGCTGCTTTCGTGGGACTCCGAAAACAATCAAGGTATGTTTCAAATTGATTTCAAGGTTTTTGATTTAGATATAAGAACTAGATATGAATTACAATTTGTTCTTTTTTGAATTCTCTTCAATTATTATCATTAATGATTTAATCTTAGTCATGCACTTAATGATGTTCATCATTCTTTCAAGTTATGTTACAAGAATGAAGGACAATAGAGTTTTACTTATCTCTCACATCTTTACATTTACTTTACATTATGTGAAGGTTGATGATTCCATATCATACTCATTATGTATGCATTTCATGCATTATCATATCATGTGTACATCATATATATGCATCTTATGCTAGGCTTAGTAAGTATACACTATATTCTTTGTATTATGCATATCATATGTTACATAGTATATTATATGACCTACATCTTTACTTAACTCAATTCATGCATATGTCATGTTACATATTCTTTTAATTAAGTTTTATATCATTTGCGTTCATATGTTAGGCGTACATCGTGTATTTAATGCATTCCTAGCTCATTTCCTATCTAATTGATTATTTCATGATTCACATAGGTGTAAGAGATGATAAAGCAAGCTATGACAATTCGAGAACAAAGAATGCAAGCTATGGCAACTTATACTAGCTCAAAGATAAGAAATGCTAACTCACTTAGTTTAAAGGAGCTCAAAGGGTAACTAAAGGAGTTGAAGGGGAGCTAAACCTAGCTGGAGAGTAGGTAAGGACCTAGTAGCTGAGTTGAGGACTAAAGTCAGCTCGAGGGTAACTTAGGTAGTAGCTGAATAACTGGAGTGTCACTAGCTAGCTAGCTTAAGTCTACCTTGCTACAACTTACCTAGCTAGCTACCTAAGCACTTACCTTGGTACCAATCACATGCCATGCACTTATCATACATCCTTTGGCTGAACCAAATACTTCCTTTTCGGCCAAAGCATTCAGAAAGGTTCTTATGCATTGATGAAGAGTTAGCTGAACCATCACCAAACTTTAAAGACATTCATTCATCTTAATCATGTATCTTCATTAAAGACATAAGCATGGTCGAACTATTATATACCATTTCAACCATTCCCTTTTATTTTCTATAAATTGCCAATGCCTTGTCATTTGTATGGAATCTCCCATTGAATCAAAGTTATACTTTTGTGAGATTTTTCTCAACTTCTTTTAGAACTTTATCGACTTATCAAGCCTAAGTGCTTGTGGCGTCCATTCTTTCCATTGATACTTGTGTTTCTTGATTCTTATGATCAAAGGAGCCAAGTCCTTTTCTACCACCCAAACTATTGAATACATAAGGCTAGGGGTTTTGCTCCATTGAATCTACATTCCTCTATAGTTCATACTATATTCAATTTCACCATGACCGTCACCATCACTATTTCTTTCTTACAACCATCACTACGCCCATCCATACGAAACAACCACTATCTTCCTTAATCATATTTCTTACTTTGTTTATTTCTAATCCACCAATTTAACCATTACATCTACTTACCTAACCATCTCTTTTGAAGCCTATCTTGCTGCAAGTCTTACTTGCTTCCTTCCTAGATCCACAACCAAGGCTGTCATTCATCATTCAAGGCATGTGGCATTCTTATCTTCCCCATTGTAACCCCCACAGACCGATAAGGGTAACCAGATCCGATCCGGGGTGTCACATTTCGGCCACCGGAGCGACCCCACTGTAAAAATAGCGAAAAATTTAAAACTTTTTAAATTACATGTAAACTAATAAAATCAGTTGTCACTATTTAAAAATAAAACAGATTTCCAGACTCGTATATAAATCAAAATACAATTACATGCCCCCTAATCACATGTACCATACTCTGCAACAACGCCGGAAGAACTCCTTTATTGAAGTCGATAGATGCACTGGTACAATTATTTTAACCTGAAAAGATGAGTAATAGAGTGAGCTTCGAAAAGCCCAGTAATACAGAACTACCAGATGATGCTGAAGAACGTGCATATACAGATAAACATACATATCCTTATTATTTCCAAACATTTACAGATTTTTATGCTGAGCAGAGATCCTACTGATATTTCAGATGGTAGCAGACAATGAGCTTTCAGTTCAGACAAATATTTCGGATGACTGAGTTCGGGAGATCAGAATAGATTATCTAGTGTGTTCCCATAAAACCAGTAAAAAGATACATATTTTTTAAAGCATATATATACACCCCATCCTTTCACAATCTGTTTGTGTAGGTTCCCGGAACATACACCCCGCACAACCAGTAACAGTAAGGCCTGAGCACACAGCTGAGGAGCCTGCAGTAATCTTCCTCCAACAATAAACCCCCCAGATAAAACATTTCTCCGTCGGTAAACGGAGATATCAGAAATCAAAACAGAATTCATATCAGATATCAGAACAGAATCCAGATCAGAATCAAAACAGAATTCAGGTAACGTATCAGAACATAATTCAATTCGGAAATCAGATAAAATATTTATATAATCAGGGAACACACCAGAGTTTACAGGTATTATTTAGAGGTATTGTATCAGGCAGAGCAATACAGTTATTCAGTATGCCGATAGAATATCGGAATTCATAATCACTATTGGAAGAGTTCAATAACTGACAAAATCATCAATTAATCAGAATATGACTTGAGCTGTAAGGAAGAAATGAATATTCAGGACATTTACAATCTATGTCGATTGATCGGATTATTAAACAACTCTTAAATGAATAGCTCCCAAAATTAATGCTTGTCGATTGATCAATTCATTGTTCTTCATTGTATTTACTCTTTAATACCACAAACTCTTGTCCATAGATCATTTTCGGAATCATCACTGAATAGATCTTCCAATTCTTTATTTTATTTTTACACTTCCAATATATCATGAAATACTGACGTGCTTGATTTGTAGTTCATGATCCAGAAGAACAGTACATTGTATATGTTCATTAATGTTTCCAGACTCATTCGCATAACTTACTTAATCTTTAGTGCTTGAGGTTGCTTAGTTCATTTAGCATTCAAGTCTATTCGAGTTACTTCGGGATTTTCCAGAGTAATTCATTACGTTTCTGAATTTCAGATACATATTGTACTTCCGTTCAGTTCAGTTTGGTCTTCGTGGTTGATTTTTCGAACAAATATCCAATTCTTAGTACCGAATGCAATCTAGAGTTGAGCTGAGCTGAATACTTCCAAAATTATCATTGAGCTAAACTTGAGTAGACGAACATGCATTCAAGTAATATCTATGTCATTCAGGTACTGACATATTATTAAGGTTGATCGGCTCACTTAAGTTATGTTCCATAACTTTTAAAGGTAGTCCAATACCTATGCTTATTTGGATTGCTTAATTAATCTAAGGTATTTACTTAGTTTAGGCCATAAGGTTATTTTGGTAATTTGATGTTCAGTTTTATTCCATTTATTTCAGATCTCGAGGATATCCAATCATTTCTGAGCTTGGTGATATTCTTGGTTCATTTCCATTACATGGGTATTTTGGTCATTTTAAGATATCTACGGTATTTCAATCTTTTCCTGCCATCCGGTCTTATTATTTAATTCAATCTTATATTTACTTCAGTCCTTTTGAAAATTCTGACATCAGAATACCCCCGATAAATTATTTTCAAGTATTTACTCATTATTGAATATTTACGGGTCAAGTGTCTTCTCAGATTTACAAACGGAATATCAGGAATTTTCCTGCACTAAGTCAGGATCTTAACAATTAAATCCGTAGTTAATCGAGTTAAGTATGAATCCCCTAAGTATTTTCTCATAGAGTCAACTCAGACTATTCTACCTCTTAAGGGCATTTCCGTAATTTCTTAACCAAATAATTTCGATATTAGCTCTTAACGAAAATAATATAATTTAGAGATCCTATGATTAATTACTTTCTTGAATACTCTTGATCTTGAAACGGTTCTCTTAACAAACTTCTAGTATTCTTCACAAACTCTCACAGGATTAAAAACCGGTTATCCATAATTTCCAAATAAAACTAACATTTCTTATGCACATCAATATTTTATCAGATAATATGTCTGTAAAATTCTATTATCTAACTTCCATATTCAAATCTTGTCTTTTTAACATAAGGGTATTTCGTAATTTTACCCTACCAGAGTATTCTATAATATCTCATCCAAGT